ATTTCCATCGTCATTGTCGGTGCCTTCGTCATTACATCGGGATAACCGTTTCGTTCCTCAACACATTCCAACCCACAATGTCCAACGTCAATCGGCTTCGGAACCAATAACATCTATGGTCGACCATCGAGTACGGGTCATTATCGTTGGGCGCAATGAATACGGTTTATGCTTAATTTAATTAAAAAAATTTTGGTTACCGTTATTATGTACTCCGTTATTTATGAATTTAATTAATGTTTATTTTTTTGTAGGTTGTATCCCTCCGATGTTTGCTTTCACTCGATCGTTAAGACATTCCAAAAGTACATTCATTCTTTAGGATGGATGTGGAAAAAAATGAGTTCGGAGATAAAAGATTTTTACTGGGAAGAATTTAAGGTTCTAATTTCTAAATTTTATTTGATTAATTATATTATTTAATATTTAATTAAATTGTATAAAATAATATGAAAGTAAAGTTAGTAGTGTTTATTATTTTTTTTGGCGAAATCATTTAAGTGGGATGATGATTTGAACGAAAGCATAGTTAAGAAAGCATGGGAAAGTCTCACACGGAAGCGATATTCGACTTTCTTTGTCGTCTAAGGAAAAAACCGAAGCCAACATATATCTCACAGGAAATATGGGATGCATGGACTACGGAATGGACGAAACCCGAGGCCGTTACTCAATCCGAGATGGCAGCATGGAACCATAGGAGCGAGGCCGGTAGAGTCGGAGCCGGTCCTTCTAGACATACGGAGGGATCAATAAGCCATAGAGAGCACGCCATACACATGATAAAAAATATATATTATTTAATTTATTTATAATTTTTTTAAAAAATAATATCCAAAATAATTAATTAAACATCCGACTATATTTAATACATTTACGTTTATTTATATATGTTTTCGGCGTAATGTGTTGGGTTGTGAACCCGATCCTCACGAGGTTTTCTTGAGGACTCATCGGAGAAAGGTTAATGATCGGTTAGTCTTCGTCGATCAACGATTGAGGCTTATCGGAGTAAGTGATAACTTTGAAACATTATTTAATAACGTTATTTGACAACCGTATTTGATGTGACGTGTTTCATAATTATACGGGAGATCGTACAAAGATTAATTAATGAGGAAGAGGTTGCTAGCCTACGGTCGGGAGGGACCGAAGCGATCGCACCCGACATTAATGACATCTTTCAAAGGGCCGTTGGTGGAGGAGATAGTAGGAGGACGAGAATGTACGGACTCGGCTCACATGCTTCTCACTATTATTCAACTCGTCAATGTAGGCTCATCTTCTGCTACTTTCGGATTCAATGCAGTCGATGAGGCACGATTGAAGGAATTATAGGAGCAAACATCCGCAAACACGACGCACATCCATAACTTAGAGGGTACCGTGAACAACCTATAGGGCCAAGTGGCATCGTTATTGGATACCACAATTGAGTTGAGAAACAATAATCAATAGCAGTTTAGATGATGTCACGGATGCGACGAGATGTTCATGCGGCATTTTGAGCGTGGTGGTAGTTCATCCGCCATTCCCGAGATCGACAACGACTCCACCTCGACGACCTCCAGGACGACTCCACCCGACCTCCTACCGATCCTGGACATTAACTTGTTTTAGATTTTCTGTTTTCTTGTATTAACCGCAATCGATGTACTATTTTTTTATTTAACAATAATGTAATTGTTTAGCGATGTTTTAATACATTTTGAATAATAAAAATTTACGTTTACGATATTTTACGAGATTTTTGCTACTTTAAAATTGTTACTTTTACCTCATTTTATTATTGTTTTAAATAAATTTATTTTTTCAATTAGCGACGATCTTAGAAACGGTCTAGACCTTCGCTACAAATTAAATATTACCAACGTATCGCACCATTGCCAAATTGACCGTTGCCAATAATTTAGCAACGATCAAGATCGTCGCTAATGTCATAACTCGTTTACATCGATATTTAGCGACGGAATAGCAACATTTTGGATCGTCGCTAATTTTACAACGGTCCAAACCGTCGCTAAAAAACATCGACGACCTTTTTAGCGATCGTTTCTTGACCGTCACTAAACCGTTGCTAAAACGTTTTAGCAACGGTTTTTTTAATTGAGCGACGGGTATGCTCGTCGCTAAATGACATTTATCCGGTAATGTCATATGGTCGGGGTTAAACTAAAGATTAGGTCGAGAGTAACATTGACATTGTTATCTTGAGGCATTAGAGTATTTCCAACACTAGCATATCCGTTGCTTGACCCTTTGAGAGGCAAACTGTTTGGCGTACTACCAAGAGTCATCTGTTCATCATAATCAATATTGTGAATTTGAACCTTCTATAAATTTCCTTAAACATTTCCGGTGTTCTTCTTCCTTTTTGGTTTGTCATTGGTGGATTTCCATTTAGCTTGAAGCATTTAGCCTTCACATGTCTTGACATTTGATAATGTTCATACCATAGATTCTTCTTGACATTTGTATTCCACATTTGGCTCTCTTGGTATCCTTTATGTTAAGTCATGTTATTCCTAGTCATAAAAGTAGGTCGTTACATCCTTCGTAGGCATAAATTGCGATATCTCCATTTGTTTTTCTTCGTGTTGAACCATGGAGTAGGCATCTTTTACACACGACAAAGGTTTCATCGATAAAATTTGACCTCCGACGGGCTTATAACCGTCATTCAATCCCATCAAGAATTGCATTAACTTTTGTTCTTCCCATGCCTTTCTTGCTCACATTGAACATTTGACTTACGAAGTTAGAATATGAGTCATAGCTTCCATTTCATCCCATAGTTGCTTGAGCTTGGTGTAATACGTCTTAATATTCATACTCTCCCGAGTACAAGGTAAAATTTGTCTTCGCGGACCATAAACCATAGAGCCGGCATTGTTCGAGAATAATTTTTGCAAATTTGACCACATAATTGCTACAGATCTGCTATGGAATATAAACTTTCCAATGTCTTTAGAAACCACACTAAGCGACCAAAAAATAACCATATTATTTACTCGCTCCAATTGTAGAAGATTTGGATCTCCATCTATTGGCTTCGAATGGCACCATTGACAAACCTAAGCTTGTTCTTTCAAGCAAGAGCAATTTCCATAGATCTACGCCATGGAATGTAATTCGAAGTTCCTAACAAAAGGTGATTCACGAGTAACCATTCTAGGTACATTTTAACTTAGCAACATTAGAGGATTGGAGGCTATCACTCGGTAGTGTTGAGATATCACCACTCTCACTCATGTTTGCCATAACCGCAATGAGAAATCACGGAAGAAGAATTTCTTTTAAAAGATTGTTTTGCCGATAACATATGAAATTTTAGAAACTAGGAAATGTAGAAGAAAGGAACAAGAAAAAGGATTGGGTAGAAGATTTTTGGGTTGTTTTGAACTAAAAATACCCAATGTTACAATGATTTTTCTTACTCGGCTAATGCGGAGAAGGAGCATTTATATGCTCTCATTAATTACTAAGTAACTAGCTTAATTGCTAACTAACTCCACTAAAAAGCTGAGTTAAATCAACTTTGCTAACTAATTATGCTAATTAACCTCTCGTTTTCTATAAATTCATAAGTATAACATCTTATATATTTCAATGCTAGTGTATTTAGAAAAATTTAATAATTTTTTTTATAGATTCTTGTTTCAAGATTTGACTCTAAATGATTAAAAAATAGAGCAAATTTTGTAATTACGACACCAACACTTAAGTCTGTACTAAGTTTATTTTATTTTATTTTTAAAAAAGATATGCCATTGAAAAAAATATTAAGGCTGTCCATATTTACATGCCTAACCAATCATTTGCCCAGTTCGATTGTGCTTACCAGCTTGGTTAAAACCAAAGCCGAAATCGTACTGAAAGTTTTAACAGAGGCAATGACTTTATTTGGATTTTTTTCTCTTTAATTTAACTTTATCTACAGCCACGAGTCTTGGGAGTTGGGACATCCTAATTACATCCTAAAAATACGTACACGTAAGATGCAACTTTGAGGAAAAAAATTGAAAAAGAAAGTTCATATGTATTTTTACAAGTACTTCCATTACATTTACCTTAAGATTGATCAATCTATAGAATATTCTTAACTATTATCGGATATTACAAGTGCTACGTATTACTGCTGAAAAATAGCGATGTGAAGAAAGGTTTTTTTTTATTTGTTAAAGATGAAGTATTTTTTAATTGAAATGCCATAAATATAAGATTTGAATTCCTAACAACCAATAAATATATATATATATATATATATATATATATAGTTAGGTCTATTACTTTTTATACTAAACTAATATAAAAAAAAACCTTTAATTCTTTAGAGGTAATAAAAATTAAACATTGATTCAAAATCAAATCACGTAAATCTCTTTATCGCTAGATCACGTACTTTCTTAATTAATAAGATATTATTTATATTAATAAAAAAGAATTCGACCGATTTCATTAAAATAATAAAAAATAAAAAATAAAAATCGAGCGACACCGCGCGATGCCCAACTGTCAAATTGACAAATCGTGGAAATCTTGTTTTTGGACGCAAGAGACCTAGCATCAGCTTCCACTTAATTACAATCTAACTTGGGTGCGAAGACTACCATACTTAATCAACAATTCAGGTCTTTTAATTTCCAATTACAGCTTGTCAAGTGCAACAAATTACTTGGTGGAATCATGTATGTTCTCTGTATATATATATATATATATAATGTTAGTCCTCACAAGAGGGAACTAGTTCTGGCTCACAATCGAGGGCGCTAGCTAAGTTAAGAGAGGATTATCAATGGTGTCAAGCAAGTACTGGCACCAAAAATCAATTATAAAGCATTCTGAAAAACGTGAGGTATCAGAACTTCTATGTATTCGTTGTTGCAATTAATCTTAATCTGTTCTTGAAATTGCAATTAATATCGATCTGTTTTTCTCTTATGATAAATGTATCTATTTGTTAAACGCATAATTCCCAGAAAAGCAGAGTCAATAGAAAAATGAAAAGGCTAAACGCTGAGATGGCAGAGATTAGTAAGCAACAAGAAAGGATCAGACAAGGGCAAAAGGAAATGAGAGAAAGGTTTGAAGAGATTGAATCAGAATGTGATCAGCTCAAAAAGGAAACTGAACTTATATCTCATGCAAGCGACAACGTCCAACTGCGCCTCGATATCATGCTCAAAATCTTGAAAGCAAGAGAAGAGAAGGACTTCGCTAAAGCTGCTGATCTTACTTGTTCTCTCAGGTTCGTGTTGGAAACTTCTTCTCACTTTTAAGATTCATGTTAGAGAGATAGGAGTTCTTGGCCGTTTTCAGATATATATAGGAATTGTCAGATGCAGATGGACTTGAGATAAAAAGTACCTTTTCTTTCCCTTTTATTATATTAAGCCTTCGAGCTGCATTTACCCAAAAACATTTGTGAGTTTTTCAACCTAGTGCTAATCTAATCTTATGATGTTATGCACCACCTTTTTTTTAAAAAAAAAAATGATTTCCTATCATTAATTAAATCCAAGTAGAATTGGACAGTACAAGTACAAAACATTATATCAATACAGCATAATGTAAAATAAAAGATTAGTAAACATGCAAAACTAATTTTGAAACAGTGGCTCTAGCTAGTGCAAAATGATTGGTGGGCCAATGGGAAACTTAAAAGGGTAACAATGAAATAAATTAAGAGAAATAGAGCCACATGTGTAATTAGAAAACATTTCAGGGAGCTAATTAAAAGAATCTTAAATATAAGAATGAAATTGCGGGGGTTTAATTGTCAAAGAATTATTTCAACTAAAAAAATTAAACTATTGGATGATGCCTCAATAAATGTTTTAAATGAATTTTTTTTTATTTTAAGATTTATATAGACCCATTGTTATATTGTACTTAATTTTTTTTTTAACTTAATTAGAGAGAATGACGGCGGTGAGATTAGAACTTTTAATTATTTGATTGTTAAAATTCTAATATTATGTCAAAAAAACTATTTTAATTCAAAAATTTAACCTATTAAGTAAAACTCAAAAAATTATTTTATATTATTCTCTAACAACATACAAACAAAATACCAAGCTTTTAAGGTTTGATACTAATAAATTTCAAAAACCTAACTTAATTATGGTAATCATCACCTAGAATAAAATAATTAAGTTTACTAAAAATTTTGTAATATCTTTTTTTAAAATGAAATTTTTTATTCATAAGAAAAGATATAAGTAGGTTCTTACTCTGCTACAAAGTGTGAATTTATGATAAATACATGACACAAATTAGGACAATATCGTTGCAAAATTTTGTAATATCTCACCTTTTCGTTGAGTGAAACTTTGTTAGAACACTTCATGGTATTAAAATTTTAGTTGGTTATATAGATTTGAAATGTTATAACCTCATAGATGTTGTTTGCAGGAATAGTCCGCTTTCTTGAGGATGATGACAAGAGATAGGTTACTATTATGGTCTTCAAAGGTTACAACATGATCCTTTTGGATAGATGTTAGTTTTATAGGTATGAGTTGTTCCCCATGTGTGTAGACATAAGTGGCTAGTTTGAACAATATTGTTGCTTTAAATTTTAATTATAATAATGTTGTACGTAAGTTGTGTATGAAATTTGTCGTTTATACAATCAACTTATGGAGTGTTTTATTCACGTTATGTAAGTTGATATTGTTGGGAAATTATGAAGCTATACCATTTTGATTGATATACCATGTTAGTAAGAATTATCGAATTTTTTAAATTGCATAAGGGATGACATATTAGTAAATAGATAGATAATAGAGGTTAGCTTATCGGGTTAGTTAAATTAAGTTGTTAAGCTATTAGAGTAGTTGGTTAGCCATTAGTGATGTCGGTTAGCTCATAATCCAGCTAGAAAAGCTTTCTCTCTTACCTCATTTTGTAAAGGTACCATTGCTCATAATAGAGATAAATTCGATCCTTAAGCTATTCCTTGTGTATTCATTAGATATCCACGTGGTCGGAAAGGTTACAAAGTTTATGATTTAAACACTCACAAGATATTTTTCAATCGTGATGTTAGATTTGTTGAGCCTATCTTTCCTTTTTTTACTCATACTGAATCTTCACTTGTTGTTATGCCTTTTCCTCCGACCTTAGTGAATTTGTTATTCACTCTACACCATTTGATAATCCCACGACTCCTACTCCAATTCCGTATTCTACTCCCTTATCTCATTCTAATTCATCTCCCATGTCCTTTACTCTTCCTTCCCCTCTTCCCACCGATGTCTTTTGAAAATCGGAAAGACAAAGAGTCCCTTATGTATGGCGGAAAGATTATATTTGTTCATCTCATTTGTCTACCATACCATATGCTCACACATATGGCTTTCCATAATCCAACTCGCATATATTCTATGTCTAAATTCATTTCTCTTCATTCCACTCCTACTTCATATCATCACCTTGCCCAATTTGAAACATACAAAGAACCTGCTTCTTACTCAAAAGCTTATTAGAATCCAAAATAGAGAGAAGCCATGGCATTGAAAATTAAGGCATTAGAGGATAACCATACTTGGTTTATCATTGATTTACCTCTTAGGAAGCAAGTTGTGGGTTACAAGTGGGTGTATAAGGTGAAGTACAAAGCTGATGGATCGGCGAACGATACAAGACACGTTTGGTTGTAAAAAGAAATACACAAGCCGAGGGTCTTGATTATCGGGACACCTTTGCTCTTGTAGCCAAAATGACAACGATCAAGACTCTTTTAGTCGTTGTAGTTGATAAGGGCTGGATTTTAGCTCGGCTTGATATCAATAATGCATTTTTGCATAGAGACTTGAATAAAAAGGTCTATATGAAGTTACCTCCGGGTTTTGTTATGCAAGGAGCTGGGACTCAACCTTTTTGTAGGTTGGTAAAATCATTATATGGGCTTAAGCATACTTCTCGCTAATGGTTTTTAAAGTTTTCTTCTACTTTACTATCAGCGAGGCTTTACACGGTCTCAATGTGATCACTCTTTACTCATTCGTCATGATGGGAATCATTTTACAGCATTATTGGTTTATGTTGATGATGTGGTGCTCACGAGGACCGACAAAAGGTTATTGATCATTTGAAAAGTCCGTTGGATCGAAGTTCAAAATTAAGGATCTTGGAGATTTGACCTATTTTTTTTAAGAATTGCGGTTCTTTGTAATAAAGATGGAGTCTATATCAACCAACACATGTATGCTCGGGATATTATCATAGATGTTTGCCTTTCAAGAGCCAAACCAAACTCCATTCTAATGGATCGGAATCACAAACTTAATGATTCTAATGGAGATAGCTTAGATGATCCATTCCTGCATAGAAGGTTGGTTGGCGAGTTGATCTATCTCACCATTTCCGGACTCGATCCGCCTATACGATTCACATCCTCAATCAATTCATGTCCCACCCTCGCATTCCTCACTTGTAAATGGCTCACAAGGTTCTGAAATATGTCAAGGGTTCCTTAGGGTAGGGGCTATTCTTTCCAATAGATCAAGCCACGACTTTATTAGCCTTTTGTGATGCTGATTGGGCTACTTGCCCTATGACTCGCGAGTCCATTATTAGCTATTGCATGAAACTGGAAGGGGCATTTCTTTCCTAAAAAACCAAGAAATAACACACCGTGTCAAGTCCTCGATCGAATATGAGTATAAGGCAACAACATCGGTGTGTTGTAAGATTACTTGGCTTTTGAATTTGTTAGCGAGACTTGAAAGTGCGTGACTTAACTCATGTCTCATTGGCTTGTGATAATCAAGTCGCTTTACACATTGCATCTAATCCCGTATATCATGAACGAACCAAGCATATTAAGCTTGATTGTCATCTCGTTCGTGAAAAATTACAGTAGGGATTATTGCTCCTCACTTCCTTCCTACTCATTTGCGGGTTGGTGACTTATTTACTAAAGCACTTGGTAAAACTCAACTTCATTCTTTTCTTAACAAGTTGGGTGTTTGCAATCTCCTGCAAACTCCCACTTAAGGAGAGATGTTAAATTGCATATAGGATGACATATTAGTAAATAGCTAGATAATGAAAGTCGACTTATTAGGTTAGTTAAATTAAGTTGTTAAGTCGTTAGAAAAGTTGGTTAGCTATTAATGACATCGGTTAGCTCATAATCCAGCTATAAAAGCTTTCTTTGTTTCCTCATTTTGTAAAGGTAACGTAACAATGAAATATCACACAAAAGTTACAGAGCATTTTCTTCCTTCAGTTTCTCTTCCTCCTCTCTTTTGTTCCTAACTTGTTTTATTGCTTTCTTACTCGGTTTGCTTGGGTGTAAATTTCTCACAAAATTCATAAGATAAAAATTGTTATTGTGTCGGAGTCTAAAAACGAGTTGGTTATCAAAAAAATCTACTAAACTATTTTCGGTAATTCAACCCACGTATAGAATCCATGATACTTTTATTTGGACGGAACCTCCAACTTTTACTAAGAAAAGTCGGAGGTCGAAGAGTTTGGAATGGTATAGAAGCCTTTAGATTATCTACGTAACGCTTGGTTTCTTGTTTTTGAGCTCGAGCCCCATTTTCTAATTAAAAAAAAAAACCATTTCATGTCTAAATTGCATTTATTTCATAATTTTGATTTTTTATTTAATGCATATGTTTTAAGTATTTTTGGATATGATGCTTTTTTAGGTTTCGATAAATTAAAGCATTAATATTTGAATAACTTTCAAAACTTATGAATTTCTTCTTTATAGCTTTATTGTGTTTGATTTTGAGAGTTTTACAAATTAAAAAATCTTATGATCTTTTACTTTTATATCAAATAATTACGTACCCACATATTGCCTCACTTGTATCAACCATTCAATGACATTAAAAAAAAGGACAAGATTGAATGAACTCGATTTAAAAGATAGAAAAAAAGATTTTTAAAGATTGCAAAAAATTATACCCCATGAAAATTTGGTTTTATCCAAGTGTGGAAACAAAAAGAAGATAAAAGGTGAGATACGATGCTGGCTCAAGGCATAGGCCATTAAGGCCTATGCCTAGGCCCCCATAGAAAGGAGGGCTCAATTAAAATTTTATCCTAAACCTATACCCGTGAAGAATGAGATAAATTAAAAGGTGCGGCCTCCACCTAAGTATGAGACACCATTCTTCTCTCTATTAACACGTCATAAGTACCGTAGTTCGTGCATTGAAAGGCTTCGATTATTCAAAGATATTATTATTTCAATGTTAAAAATTCTACCTTTTCTAGACATCTTTCTAGTTACCTTTTGCTTATAAAAGCTTTCAATTTGTATTTTAGTGAGACACTTTTACTTACGGAAAAGTTTCAAAAAATATTTATGAGTGAAACAATTTTTAGATCTCTAAATTTTATTATTATATTCCTTTCTTTCTCCAAATAATCGGGGATCTCTTATAAAACCTTTTCTAATTAGCTTGGCGTAAGAATGCTGGAGGTAATTTTTTTAATTTATGCAAATAAAATTATGTATATAAATCATATAATATTTTATTTTTTTCTCAAATTTCTTTTTATTTTCTCGAGTGATTCTCTCTAGACTTCCTTGATTAGGTGTGGCAAGCAAATATAATCGAGTGCCAAAGTTTCTTACTCTTTTTATAATTATATTTTAATTTTATTAGTTGAATAAAATGTCTACTAGAAAGTATGAATCTATATATGAAAAACGTAAGAAAAAAAGAAAGGTAGAAGAACTAATTCAATCCCAAAAAGGTGCACTTGATAGATTTGTTACTAATATTAAACCTCAAATACTAGAAGAACAAGATAAAAATTTAAATGAAAATATAGTTGAAAATTATGAAGAAAAATTTGAAGATAGCAATTCAAATTCACCAAAAAGTAATGAAAAATATGATGAAAATTTAGAAGATGATGTTTCAATCAATAAAAGTGAAAATATTAATGATGAAGATGCAACAATAATTAAAAATATTTACAATCTAGCACAATGAAAAAATTTATACTCAAAACTGATTGATTTATTAGTTGAGAAAGGTCCAATTAGAGAAATTTTAGATTTTTCAAGAGATAAAAATTCTAGACATTTTTCTACGAGTTCATTACATTCGAAAATTACCAAACGAGAGAAAAACGGATAGAAAATGGCTAGTTTATTCAAAAGAGTTAGATAAAGTGTTTTATTATTGTTGTAAATTATTTAGTTTGAAATCGAATATTCAATTAGCAAATGAAGGTTGTGGAGATTGAAAAAATCTTAGTGCCAAACTTAAAAGTCATGAGACAAGTAATGAACATGCTATTAATATGAACATTCGGGTTGATGCTCGGTGAGATTGCTTAAAAACAAAACAATTGATAAGCATTGACAAGAGAAAATAAATAAAGAGAAAGAGCATTGGAGGAATGTATTATCAAGAATTATTGTTGTTGTAAAAGCTCTTTCAAAAAATAATT